AAGGAGGGCGATACCTCCGAGATTTTATTAATATGTACTCGTGGCGGAGGAATATTGTGGTTACAAATGATATTAATGAAATCAATAAATAAGGAAGTACTACTTCCCTGACAGTGAAAGTAAAGAATAAAAGGAAAGTACTAAAAAATGAGTACTACTTCTCTTACAAAAAGAACAAGTTAAATCAAAAATAAAAGTAAAAGCAAAATACAAATACCTAAACTTTAGTGTTAGGTAAACTATACCTGTCAATCTGAACAAGCGCCATGATATGTCGTGGTAGGTCGGCTAATCCATATTCTTGGTAACTACGATGATGTCAACCATCGGTGCAAGTACATCTGGAACTTGGTTCCCCTCTTTGAAGATGTGGGAGACCATATTTTTGTGAAATGAAACGATATCTGCAATCTGTCGAGTATCCCCTGGATAGGCCATGGTCTGCCACTCCGGTGATGCAGTGAATGGCAACAGTGAAATCTGCCTCAACCCAAATATTTGACAAACCAAGATCTCTATCCAATAATATCTCATGACAAATAGCCCTGAGTTCCGCTTCTAATATCATACATTGTCCATATGAAGTTGAGAAAGCTTTGATACAATTTCCTGCGTAATCCCTGATGATAAGGAAACTCTTGTTTACATCCTAAGTTGGCTTGAATTTTGTTCATACAATTTACAACGTCAACAACAACAATAACAATAATAATAATAACTTAAAGCCTGCTTCACAAACCTCTATAATAAACCCGTAATCCTCAAACTTATTGAATGCAAATCCCACTAATTCTCATGATTGATGAATAGTGAATTGTGGGAAGAAGCAAAGATGTGAGGAATTATCGAGCTGATTACATAGAATAAGAATAGCAGAATTTTTGAGAAAAAGGGACGAAAAGTCAGGATATATACAGTGAGGGGAGAAATTTGGAGAAGATTTCAGGAATTGAATTTACGAGGAGAAATTGAACTAGAGGCAAGTAGCATGAATCATCAAATTGAATAAACCCATTTTACAACCTTAATTCTCCATCGATGCCAATATCAAAAACCCAATTCTTGAATAAAATTATGGATTTTGTGTAGAGACTTGAGATGCCAATAGCAGATGGTTGAAAAGAAGATGCCGGAGAAGGAGAAGAGAAAAGAAAAGTAGTGAAGCCAATAAGAAAAAATCCGATTATAAAATATGGTGATTTTATTTTTATTTTTTTTTGGAAAAAAAAGTTGTAATTGGCGAATTTTAAAATGTAAATAGGGTATGTTTGGATAAGGAGATAAATATTTTGAAGGATTTTAATATATGGATGAAGACCGTTAGATTCTTTAAAATTCAAGAACATAGATTATTTGTCAAAAATCTTTGTCAAATGTATTGGTTGGCAGAACGCTCCCCATTAAATTTTACTTTTAAATAACTATTGTATTACACGAGCAAAAATTAATGCAACTAGACACTTTCTTCGGCGAGTTTTTATCATACGTGTTTTTTGGTCTGAAAAAATTATGTATTAGCACAATATTTTTACATGTAATTAATTTACAATTTATTATATTTCTGAATAGTGCATAACAAACGTAATAAAAATTTTCATTTAATTTAAAATTGTATATCATGCTTTTGTTCAAAGTCTTAACAGATAATTATCAAAATAGTGTAGGATCCTAAAAAAATTACAAACCATTAAAAATATGTGTTAATCGATCTCTCTCAAATTAAGCCCTTGTTTGACACCCTTAAATTTATTTTAATTTTTGTTACGTGATCATTTTTAACCACACATTCACATAATAAAATATTTTATACATAAATTCAAAATTTTTTTCTTTTTTTTAACCACACATTCTCTTAAAAATATTACAAAACTCATTTTTTTTTTTTTTTTTGGTTTAATGGGAATCAAACAGGAGCCAAAAATTATGTATTCTACATTTAAAACTGAGCAATACTTTATTTTGCTTATACACAGTTATACAAAAACCAATTCGAACTGTTCAAACCAATCAATCCAACCCAAATAGATCGATTTTGGTTGGATTGGGTTGAAAAATCAATTTGATGTCGAATTGGGTTGAATCTTGGGTTATGAATTAAAACTCAATCTAATCCGATCCAAGGAGACGAAACAAAAAAAAAAAACAAATACTTTAAATGGAAAAACCAAAATAGACACAATAGTGGAGATTTAAAAAAAAAAAAGTACAAACATCTCTTTTTTTACATATCTTTTTTCACAAATCTAAATAGACACGTGCTATTTATTATGATTTTTATAAGAGAGCACCATTTTCCTCAAGAAAACTAAATCTTGTTTCATGGACAATGCAGATTTTGACTTTGATCACCATTTTACAATGTGACTGAAGTCCCAAGAGGAGAATAGGAGAATAGCACTGCAAATCAACCATAAAAGGCATTCATGGAGGGTCCAACAACTGTTCCTGTTATGCACAAAGGGCTATTTTACTTCACAAGCAATGCCTCAAATTACTGTACCTTAGGCTTAAAGGTTAGTGTCACTGTTGATGAGATAAGATTTTATTTATTTTTATTTGTTTTATACAATTCATTGTATATTAGTTTTGAAGTTTTACTTTCAATATTATGTTGCGTTGTTTTATTGTTTTATCGTCAACCTGTTTGGTCCCATTTTCTAAAATTCATCTTTCCTCAAATTCATCTTCAACCACATATTTTATAAACTCGGCAACTTTTATCATTTATTTAACCACGCATTTTATTAATTTTTATTAAAATCTACTAAATATCTAATTTGTAGCTAAGCAAAATACAAGGGATATAAATATACAAATAATCTGCTGTGCCCTTAATGACATGGGAATGTCGACCAAAAGATTATATAAAAACTGTTTTAATCAAAAAATCCAAACTCGAAACAATTTTTTTGAATTTAGAACACTGTAAGTTTCAACATTTTTGGGGTATAAAACTTCTCGACATGGATACATGTCAATCAACAACCAGACAGATGTTCGAGAATTAAAGACACAAAGGTAACAAACACGAGAGTACCAGCAATCCAAACATGTCTACTAGTGAAGTGACACAAATAAATTCGGTTATTTTTAAACTTAGCTAGGTATGCTCCTAGGCAAGCCGTTTTAACAAATTTAATCAGTCCTTTCTAAGAAAAATTGCCCTCAGTAAACTAAATAAAAAGTTTTCATTTTTATGTCTTTGAAATTGACATAAGATTTCCTCTGCTTAATAGATAACC